AGATTCTTCAAATACACTGTCCAATTGCTTTCCATGGAATTTGGTGCATTCACAGGATCTCTCCCCTGTATGGAGGCATTGGTGTTTATAAAGGTCTGAGAAGGAAGCTTTTCCCACAGCCAGGCCACTTAGAAGTTTCCTCTTCTGAATGAATCCTCTGGTGCTCAGTAACTGCAATGTTGACAGGTTCTTCTAGGTTGGAGTTTCCTGGGTTCTCTTTCTATAGAGTGGTTATGATGGTCTATAAGATTTTCTAAATCTGGGGATTTCCACATTGATTTTATAAACATTTTTAGTGTGTTTGTTTTTGGTAAAACAGAACCATGGGGAGCATTCCCCTCTAAAGGAACAATGAATGGATGAAGAATTCCCAGTTTTTTCCCTACTTCTATTTTATCTCCTGATCTCAAAACTTGACAGAAGAAGTACAAATTGAAATGCTACCTTGTTCAAAGAAGAAAAATAAAAAGTGTTATTAAACCAGTAATGGGATGATAGAAACACCTATGTAGATTCCAAAGCTTTTATTCCAATCAAGGCTAAATTTTCTTTCTTTCTTCCTTCATATTCAATGGACACTCATCTATTTTGAAGTCAAATATTTGTTTCATTTCTTTGAAATCCTGCAATCCCTTCACCCACATCATATTTCTATGCTTCACAGGGAAATCAGGCCAGCCTGTGGTAGTGGATATCCTAGTCATAAAAAGACAGGAGGCATGCTATTTGGGTCACCATTGGTTTTTCCTGAACTCAGGCTGATTTCTGAGGCAGACAACCTTTATACCCATTTCCTTCTCAGGCTTATTTCACCAGGAGCCTTTGTCAGGCAGTTTTTCAATATTAGAACAAAACTAAAATGAGGGGAAAGCTACTTTTGTGCTCAATTCAAAGCTCTTCTCTTCCTATAGAAAAGAAATTAATTAATTATGTATTAAAGTAATGTACTAAATTAGTTTTACATTATCTTTTTAATATTTTGATAACAGAATTATCTAAGTTGGGTTATTGAGTTCCAAGAGAAGAGAGAGAGGTAAAAGTGGGAGTTTTGGAACTATGTCCTGGATTAATTTAAGAGATTTTCAAATAAAAATTGATATCTGAACTGGGTTGGTTAGTGACCAGCAAAATCCATCTTTATAAGTTTCTTTTAGCTGATCTTTTATCTGAAGTCTAGGAGTGGATTATCTTGAAATTAACCAAAACAACTACCTAACACACTGTTTCTAGCAATCTAAAGACAACTAGTAAAATTTTTTCCAGCTGAATTTGCTTCCATGTCTTTCTACTTCTTCCCTCAGTGAAACTAGTTATGGTTTGCCCCCTTTTTAAATTCTCACTGGAAGACTTTTTTTTTTCAGAGAGAGAGAGAGAGAGAGAGAGAGAGTGAGAGATTGTCATGAGAGAAACGCTGATCAGTTGCCCTCTTTTATGTCCCCCGACCGGGGATTGACCGGCAACCTGGGTATGATGTATTCCAACCAGGGACTGAACCCATGGCTCTTCTGTTAGGGGATGATGCTCCAACCAACTGAGCCATACTGGCCAGGACAGGTTTGCACCTTTTTTTATGTGTCCCTTCTTTTCCCTCCTCTCCTCTAACAAAGCTTAGTGGTCTGCAATAACATGTGGGTTTGAAAATTGTGATTTAATATCCAAATAGAGAAAAATGTTTAAATATCAACATTAACAAATAATATTAGCAAGTTAGTTTGGTTAATGTTAATGTGAAGAAAAATTTAAATTCCAAAACATCTTATCAAAATGTAGGAAGTGGAGCAAAATGCCTTATTTTATATTTTCATGGAAGAAAGGCAGTAATTTCAGATTAATAAAAATAAAATGCATTTCAAATGAAATGCCATTTACAGTCACTATTTTGTTTATGATTGGATTTCAAAGCTAAGAGTGGTATCAAAGAGTAATGCGGTGCACTTAAAAATAAACCCTTAGCCAAAGATCACAGGAAAGCTGTAGTCAAACTGGGAAGAAACCAAAACTGAGGAAAGAAGCAAACAGCTTTAGGCTTAGGGTGGCAGAAGCCTAGAGGCCAGAATATCCTAAGGTTAGCAACTTTTCAGAAAGACAGGAGCTGCATTTGTCTGTTCCTATGCCAAAGAACGCAGACTTGGAAGTCTTAATACTAGATGTCATCAAATGTCAGTTTGAAAATCCCTGATTGTAAGGGAATTTATAAGACCTCAGTTGGGGACTGAAAGCACCTCTAGAGACAGACTCTAATACTCATGAGAACTAAGACCAGGGGTAACAGGAGTTCTTTATCTGAGATTCAAATTTGTTTTTTTCTTTAATAGTCAATGAGCCACATACAACTGAGGACAAGAAAGCATAAGAAAGTAGACTCAACAGTGGTTACAAGAAGGCATACTCAACCTTCCTTTAACTCACTTTTCACCGAAGCCCTAAAGTAGTAGTTTGCAATATTTTTGGTGGTTTTGAGAACTTGATGAAAGCATCCTAGAAAATATACATACACATGCGATTTTGCATACAGTATAAAAAAGTTTACAGAGTCTCTAAATCGAACCACACGACCCTCTTGAACTCTGTTGACCAATATGGTAGCCACAAGGTAGCATATAGCAACACTAGCTTCATTTTAAGTGCTCAATAGTCAACACTACGTAAGTCCTACTGGAGAGTGCTACTCTAGGATTTCATGGACTCTAGGTAAAGAACTTCTGCCCCAAATAAACCCCTATAGAGCTGTTGGCTTGTAACCCCACTCCATAATACCAGCTATTTTCTGTCTGAATATAGATGAGCCTCCAAGGTAGAGGAATATTAACAGTAATTTTGAGTTAACTTTGCAAGTCTATCTAGCTTTAAGTACCCATTAATAACCAAAAATAAAAAGGAACTTACATAGCAAATGATTCATTCTTCATTCTTCCCATCTCAAGGTATGTGTAGTTTTGCAAACCTTCCCATACACATCTTGCAATAACAATCTGAGTAGCTTTTCTATGAGATAGGGTCAGGCTTCAGGAATTTGCTGTGCATTAATAGCAAATGTTTATTGAGTTCACACTAAGAGCTAGGTACTGTTCTAAGGATCCTACGTTAGCTCATTTAATCCTCATTGCACATTGTAAAGTGGATATAGAATTAGTCCTTTAAGACAGATGAGGGAACTGAGATGTTAACAAGATTTAATAACTTGTCTGAGATGACATATTAAAAATGCCAAAAAACAGGTTATAAGGTTAGAATCTATAGTCTCCTGAAATATGTCTATAACAAGACAAATAATCTCAGAGAACTCGGAGGTCACAAAGTTTTCTGAAATGGACCTATACTTGCCAGTGCACTATAAGGCTTCTGGATCTCCATTTGTTACAACAGCTTTTTTCCTTGGAGTGGAACAAGCGCGCGCGCACCGCCCCCCCCCCCCAAAAAAAACCCCAAAACCCAGGATTCTTTCTCTGTGTTCTCATATTACCTTTTACCAACAAGGTAGCTGAACTTCAGGGACAGACTAGCTGTGTGACCCTGGGCAAGTGACTTAATTGACACTTCGTACTGTTATCTGTAACATGGGCATGATAATAGTGTGTACTTCCTACAGTTTTGTGTGTGGTGAGGATCTGGCTGCATGTAAGCAGGCGTTCAATAAACGGTGCTGGTTGTCACGATTCACTCCTATGACGCTTCTCTATCATGAGCCAACGGGCCTAAACTTTGCTGGAGGGAATGGAGAGACTGGAAGATCTTTGGCCGTGGACACCTCCATCACAGCTGGGCCACCCTTCCCTCAACAGCACAAAGCACCCTACTGTGCAGACAGGAAACCAACCTTCCAGGTTTGTTTCCATTCACCTCTCACGATGCAAATTCATGGCCGAGCTTGGAGGGAGATGAGTAAGATCCTAGCCCCACAGGGCTGGAAAATGAATGACACGTCCCAGGCAATTTAAAAATCGGAAGCCAAAAATAAATAAGAAATAAAGTCGGAAGCCAGTGGCGCGGAGCCGTGTCCCTAGAGGCCTTGGGGACGTCCAGCTGTCCAAAGAAGGACCCTGGCAGGACAGATGACTGCCGCCTGCAACCAGTTCGATGCTCTCAGTACCGCCAAGCTCGCTGGCTTCGCCCTACCGCCTTCCTTCTCTCCGGCACTGCCCAGGGCGCGGACGCAAGCGTAGTCGCGCGCCGCACCACGGACTACATCTCCCGGCAGGGCCCGCAGGGACGCTGCCTGGGCGGGGCAGCTCACTGCCGGGTCCCCACAGAGACGCCGAGCTGGCTCTGGGATACCTGCTCTTTAACTTCCTAGGCCGCTGGGACAGATCAGTCTCTCTCGTAACCCTAATGTACTGGAGCGGGTGGAGGGCGCCTTTCAATTAGTTATGACCAGGACAATGACTCTCAAACTTAGCCACGAGTGAGGAATTTCTCGGGGGTGGGGTTGGGGGCGGGAATGGTAACAATTCGGGTTTCCGAGCCCACCCCGCACTGTGACTCACGGGATCTCGCTCGGCTCGAGGGCTTGCATCTTAGGAAGCTTTCCGAGGAATTCTGACCCAGGTAGCCTGCCAGTGACACCTGTTTTGAGATTTATTTATTTATTTACAAATCGACTTAGCCAACCCTTCCACGCCCATGGCCAACCGCAGGAACCTAGGATATTGGGGCTTGCCGGGCGGCCCTGCCTCTCCTCTCGAATTGGCCGCTCGCTGGCCTGCAGATAAATCTTCCTTTCTGGTTGGTCGGCGGAGAATCTGGAGAAATCTTACCCAATGGGCGCTATAGTTCGCAGAGCATGACCTGGAAATTGGTCCCGAGCAGGCGCCCCTGGCTGTGGACGCTTAACTCGCGCTCTGAAACTTCCGGCGTGGGAGCTGAGCGTCGAGTTCTACGTGAGCCGCGACGCAACGAAAAGCGTGGCGCTCAGGTCCTTCCCTGAGGACCTGGGGGGTCCTGGGGAGGTCCTGGGGCGGGGTTGTGAAGGGGGCTGGCGCGGCGGCTACAAGCGCCAACGGGGGCCAAGGCGTTGGAGGCAGCTGCGGTCCGACTGGAGCTGGCTCTTCGGGCGGGACTTGAAGCCCAGGGTCCTCGGGCTCCTCCGGACGCCGGCCATCCCTGCGTGAGGCTGGGGGTTCCTTTCCAGGCGGGCGCAGCTGGTTTCCGGGGTAAGGCTTTTTGAGGGCATGACGATGGCGTCGGGCTTGGGCTCCCAGGATCAGGAAGGGCTTCTGATAGTGAAATTGGAGGAGGACTGCGCCTGGAGCCAGGAGCTGCTCCCGCCGGACCCAAGGCCCAGCCCAGAGGCCTCCCACCTGCGCTTCAGAAGGTTTCGCTTCCAGGAGGCCGCTGGGCCCCGGGAAGCCCTGAGTCGGCTCCAGGAGCTTTGCCATGGGTGGCTGCGGCCTGAGATGCGCACCAAGGAGCAGATCCTAGAGTTGCTGGTGCTGGAGCAATTTTTAATCATCCTGCCCCAGGAGATTCAGAGCAGAGTGCAGGAGCTGCACCCAGAGAGCGGCGAGGAAGCAGTGATCCTTGTGGAAGATATGCAGAGAGAGCTTGGGAAACTGAGGCAACAGGTGAGAAAAAGAGTTGTATTTGCGGTTTGGCCCCAACTGGGATTAGCATGGCGGCCCAGTTCCGTATACGAACTTACTTGGTTTCCTTGAGTATATGGGCAAGTATATGGGTTTCCTTTTGTAGTTTAGTTAGGAACATTCATCATCCAGATTTTATCCAAATGAGTGAGTAGTGAAGAGTGCCCTGTTTCCATTTGGAGTCAGTGTCTCTGCATTAGTGTGAGCTCTGCCTGGACTCACCGCGCAGGGTTCAAATCGTCACTCTGTTTCATAATAGCGTTGTGATTTGGGGGAAGTTATTGAATCTTTTTGAGCTTCAGATGTGCCACTGGTAAAAAGAAAATGATGAAATACCTCTCTAATGTTCCTTTGACGGTTAGAGGGAGATCAGCCTGTAGTTCTTGTTTTTCCTAAATTCTTGTAACATACCTGTTGAAAATCGCTGCTTTAAACAGTGACACTACTTTTTGAATCACACTTTTACCTCGTGTTTTTGGTTTTGCTTGGTGAAAAGCAATCAAGCAAGTTATTAGTCAGACTTTTTAAAAAAGTTTATTTTGGGGGCCAGGGAGAAGACAGAAACATCGATTAGTTGTTCCACCTATTTATGCACTCTTTGGTTGATTTTTGTATGTGCCCTGGCCGTCTCACTGGGGACTCAGCCTGCCACTTTGGTGTATTGGGATGACGCTCCAACCAACTGAGGCACCTGGCCAGGGCCTTATAGTTTTGATTACACTATTGGCTTATAGTTAGTGCTTAATAGCTGTTAGCTATTGTTATATTAGTGTTAGCAGTCTGGTCTGCTGTGCAGAGCTGGGTGGGAATTTATTGTAGACTTAGAAAATTAGTTTGGCACTGAGGCTTTGAGGGCTCTTATGTCCCCAGTGTCACCCAAGTTTAACTTATCCAGCAGTGAGGGATGGAAGCCTCTAGAAAAGGTGAGGCAGGAGGGAGTGAGGTGTGTCCAGAAGAGCTGTGTGGGGCATGTGTTCTCTGGGAGTGGACTCTTCTTCGCCTACCCTCCACCCCCATTTTCTCACATGTATTTGGGATTAGAAAAGCCTATACTAGAAACCGTCCTTATCTTTTGCTGGGCCCAAGGGATCACCAGTGGTTCACTGTTGAAAAGCTTGCCATCAGAATTCTGTACTAATTTCCTTTCCTGTGGGGCCCTGTTGTGATGATGAGTAATGTGGGTTGGTTCCCAGGTCACAAACCATGGGCAGGGAACAGAAGTGCTTTCGGAGGAGCCTTTGTCTCTGGAAACAGCAAGAAAGTCACCGAGCTTCAAGCTGGAGCCAATGGAAACTGAGCGAAGCCCTGGGCCCAGGCTGCAGGAGCTGCTAGGCCCCAGCCCTAAAAGGGACCCACAGGCTGTAAAGGAGAGGGGTGAGGAACAGTTATCTGGGTAGGTGGGAGGGAGGAGGGGCTTTGGGTTTGTTCTGACACCAGCAGGATGGAGCACCTGTGCCAGGGAGAGGGTGTTTCTGCCCTCAGGGTTCCATTCCAGAGTGGAGTGAAAGACCTAGAAATGGTGGTTGGGTTCTTCTGGAGGTGGGAGGTGGCAAAGAGATTTCTTGGCTCTTTCATGTGTGGAACAGAGACATTTAGAACTAGGTGAATGATTGAGGACTTGAAGCTGCAGACTACTGGTATTCTTACCCTCACCTCTGCATTTAGGATATCATTTTGGACATGACTTTATTATGCTTCTCTTGCCTTCTTTTGTTCAATGTTCAATCCTTAGAGCTGAGGCTGGGTGTTGGGGAATGGATAGTGTGTTGTAATAATCCTTGGGTTGCCAAGCATTAGGAATGCCATTCTCATCATGATTTCTGTCACCTTCAGCATTATCTGCTCCCTGGCTTTCTCTCTTTCCTCCTGAAGGAAACCTGGAAGACAAGATGACTGGGCCCCAGGTGATGTGGAAGTTCCCAATGTCTTCCCCCAGCACACACACCCCCATACCCTGTGTTGCTCTTGTTGTGGTGGGGTCCTTTTGTCACTTGGAGAGGATCCTTTCTCCCTCACCACTGCGCCTCCCCCACTTTCTTTATATGCCTCCTCCTCACCTCACTCCTAGGCCTGGTATCCTTCTTCTTCATGAAATGTATCCTCAGCACTCCCAGGTTTTGCCCCTTTAACCCATGACTCTGCTTGAATTGTTCTTGGTGTCTCTGGGGCTAAAGAAGATCTTGTGCTGTTTCAGTTGCCTGAGAGCTTAGAGGACGTGGCTATGTACATCTCCCAGGAGGAGTGGGGGCATCAGGATCCTAGTAAGAGGGCTGTCTCCAGGGACACGGTGCAGGAGAGTTATGAGAATGTGGACTCACTGGGTAAGGACTTCTTTTCCAGGGATGAAGACTGAGCCATTTCTGACTGGGTTCCTCTCTCTTACCCACTCACCTCCTGGATATAAGTTCCCAATTTTTCCAGAAGACCTCTCATTGTCTAAAATCCACTGAACTAGGGTCAGTTAAACAGCTTCCAAATCGCACATTTGGCAAACCTATGGGCCCCAACTGCCAGAACCGAAGGCAGGGAGTCTGAGCCATAATGGGTTTCCCAAGGCAGAACAAGTCAAATCGGGTAACTGCTGCCCCCACCCCCGCCCCGCCCCAACCACATTACACATTCTCAGTGTCCTAGGATACTGTGGAACTGTAAGGTCTTGATGCCTTGCAATTTTGAAAAGTTTATTCTTCTGATCTCACTTGTGTTTTCTATGCTTCATTAGTATTCTTAGACCCTTCCCCAAAGACACAAATATCAGTGGCAGTGGCATCAGCATTCCAGTTTAGCAGCTCTCCCAGCCCTTAAAAATTCAGGAAGTGGGGAAGACCTTATGGAAATTTGGAAATGATAAATATATCCAAAACTGGAGCTAATAAGTCAAGCATAAATTAAGATGCATCTGTGTGTTGATTTGTTATGCAAAGATCTAAAATAAGGCCTATGAAATATCACAAAAAACAGTTTTTTAGGTGGAGAGTGTACACAAAACTCATAGGATTTAGATGGAGAGTGTGCAGGTATTGTTTAATTCCTTCGACTTTTATGTATGTATGAAAACTCTCATAATAAAAGTTGGGGAAGGTTTAAAAAGCAACCTAAGACAGGAATATGTCCTTTATGATTATGACTACATTGACCCACACACAGTAGAAGAGTCACATTGGACTTTGTTTTCATACATTAGGTTTTCGTAAAGAGTACCACAGCTGTCAGCCTATTTGCACTAATTCTGCAAAGGGGTCACAGCTGGGGGTTTTTGTTTCCCTTCATTGGGACTTTCTCCAGGTTTTCCATCACTGTGCTGTGGTTTGGTACCCTAAATTTAGCACAGCTCTTTCAGTGAGTGCTAAATATGAAGAGAAGTTCAAGTCACCTGTTTTAAAGGCCATGCTTAGTGGAATTGGAGTGAGGTCTTTGTTTTTAGCATAACACAGGAATAGCACTTTGGATTTTGGCCTCAGGGTCCTTTCAGAACCCTCTGATCCTTTTCTGATTATCCATCATAATATATTTTCTCTTTCTGGAGTTGCCCAGTCAAAGTAAGTTCTATTCTCTATTTACATGTTAAGAGTCAAGCCTCTTTTACAATATTAAACTAATACCTCAAGGAACTGACTACCTTGACCACTCTTGTTTATTTTCATTACCAAAGTGTACATTGCAAAATAAAAGTTCCAAGTACTACAAAAGTGTAAAAATAAAAACTATAGTCTCACCCAATTTGGGAACAGGTTAGTGTATATATTCCAAGTAATTGCTGTCAGACTTAATTGCACCCTCTGTATCCACCCAGTGAGGACAGGGAACAAGACTATCTTTGTTTGCCCTACCTGGTGGAGGAAAGTGGTGGCCACAGAAATCTATTTTTTTCATTGTGAACAGAATCTCAGGTTCCCAGTCAGGAGGCTCTGAGCACTCAGGTGGATCAAGGAAGAAAACCATGGGACCCCAGTGTCCAGACTTGCAAGGAGGGACTGAACCCCAGAAGCCCAGCTTCAGGTAAGGAAGATGAGTAGCCCAGCTAGTTTCCCCCATTAGGAATGAGGTATTTGAGTGTTTCAGTGTGGAGCTAGCCCATCACAGCAGCCAGGGAGGTACAATGTGTCCTTTGTCCTCACTGCCCACTTCCATCCCAATGAGGCAGGCGAGACACCCAAGAGTTCAAAACATAAGGAAGCATTCACTCATGGGCTCACTTGCACATCCTATTCAGTAGCTTTGCTCCATCCTTCCCATTTCAAAAGGGCAGAATCAGAGGCTCAGCTAAAGATGTATATGGGGACCCCTCCAAGAGAATAAGATTGGCCTGAGCTCTGATTCCTGAACCTTTTATCCTTCATGGCCCCACCTTTTATCCAGGTGCCTCTCTAGAGTACTTTCCCTGTATAGGGAAGATAGGACACAGATGCAACCTCTCTGGACTACTGACCTACCATTAGTAGCAGCAGGCTTATGGGATTTTCTTTTTCTCTAGGGTAGAAATAATGTAGAGGTTTGGTTTTTCTCTCCCCCCGTCCCCCACCGCCTCTCTCCCAATCACCCTCCCTCTCCCTCAGGGGAAGAGAAATTTGAGAGCCGAGAAGAAAGTACTCGGTCTGTTTCCCCCGAGAGCATCCATCTGCAGGTGCTTCTGCCTGGCCAGGCCAGAGGGGAGGTGCCCTGGAGTCCTGAGCAGGGACGGCCTGGGGATGTGGCAGAAGGGCATTGGGAGCCTCCCCCAGATGATCGGATGGAGCAGTCCTTAGTGGGGGCCACAAGTTCCAGAGAAGTGGGACAACCAAAGGAACTGCTGCCAAAGAAGCTCCATTTATGTCCCTTGTGTGGCAAAAATTTCTCTAACAACTCAAACCTAATTAGGCACCAGAGAATACATGCAGCAGAAAAACTGTGTATGGGTGTGGAGTGCAGTGAAATCTTTGGTGGGAGCCCCCACTTTTTATCACTACACAAAGCACACTTCAGAGAGGAAGCCCATAAGTGCCTCGAATGTGGAAAAAGCTTCAGTCAGAATACCCACCTGACTCGCCATCAACGCACCCACACAGGCGAGAAGCCCTATCAATGTAATGTATGTGGAAAAAGCTTCTCTTGCAACTCCAACCTCCATAGACACCAGAGAACACACACTGGTGAAAAGCCCTACAAGTGCCCTGAGTGTGGGGAGATCTTTGCTCACAGTTCCAATCTCCTTAGGCACCAGAGAATTCACACAGGAGAGAGACCCTATAAGTGTGCTGAGTGTGGAAAAAGTTTCTCTCGCAGTTCCCACCTTGTCATACATGAAAGAACTCATGAGAAAGAGAGACTTTACCCTTTCTCCGAGTATGGGGAAGCAATGAGTGACAGCCCTTTTCTTACAAATCATGGAACCCACAAAGCAGAGAAGAAACTCTTTGAATGTTTGACTTGTGGGAAAAGCTTCCGGCAGGGCATGCATCTCACCAGACATCAGAGAACGCACACAGGGGAGAAACCTTATAAATGTACCCTTTGTGGGGAAAACTTTTCTCATAGATCCAACTTAATCAGGCACCAGAGAATTCACACAGGAGAGAAACCCTATACCTGTCATGAATGTGGAGACAGTTTCTCTCACAGCTCCAATCGGATTCGTCATCTGAGAACCCATACAGGAGAGAGACCCTATAAATGTTCTGAATGTGGAGAAAGCTTTTCTCGGAGTTCACGTCTTATGAGTCATCAGAGAACTCACACTGGATAAAAACCATGGGGTTTCATTTTGCCCCAGACAGCCGGTACTTCTTGTCCTGCTGACCTGAAGAGGAAGTGTAAGGGAATCTGTGTGAGGAAGGAGCAGAGACAGCAAAGGATTAGCATAAAACTAAAAAGGAATTCTGTTTTGAATTAGTGAGGATGACAAGTCTTTGAGGCAACCTGCTCAGGGCAGAATTACCTTATGAAGTCCACCTTGTCTCATGGTGTACCCACCCCCTTGGTATATTTAGCCAAGTTGTGATTTGGATGCCTTACTGTGTCTGTGTCCAGTGTCTTAGCAACTTTGGGAATCCATTTGACTTTTTGTTACTGCTTCCTCACTTGGGACAGTCAGCAGGAGCATTTGAGCTCCTGAGGCCCTTGATACCAAAGAAGAGGGGGTGAGTCTCCTGGGAAACCACCTTGAGGGCAAGGAAAGACTGGTGGTAAGTTTAGCTCTCCCAAAGGCCCTGACAGGGAAGCAAGCGACAGTGCCCCTCAATAGCTTGACAGGAGGGCCCATTGGCAGGCCATGCATATCAGTGTCACCTCAGATAAAAAGGACCCAGAGACCTAAGGAAAACAGTAAAAAGTAGTAATTTGCAGGTCAGTCTAGGAATTGGCAGAGGGAGCTGAAGTCTAAATTAGTCTACCCTTTGCAGAGATCAAGACTTCCCCCACCTCTATCAGAGAAAGATAAAAAGAGCTCTTGGGTCTTCAGAGGGTTCCATGTAGGATGGGTTCCCTAGGAGTCTTTGAAAACGTGGATCTTAGGGAAAGTAGAGATCATTCCTTTTCCTGTTGAAAATATGTTTGGATGGTAATAAATATTTTCAGGAAACATGAAAGTGTGCGACTCTTCATTGAGAGCCTTTGCCCTGGCCCCCAGTGTTGATCTGTCTCCCATCTGCTTTGGAGGACCTGGTGTTTGTAGTCTTGCTGTGTTGGTCTTGAAGGGTCCCACAAAAGTGCCAAGCAGACAGAATGAGGTAGGTTGTGGCCCTCACCAACTCCAAGGTGGAACTGCTACACCATGGTAATAAAGGGTCAAGCTCTGGCTGCTTAGGGTGATGTCTCCAAGGTTTTCTTTTTGTGGTGTACAGAAATGTCTGATTTTTTTAGAATTTTTTTTTTTGGGGGGGGGGAGAGTAACTGAATGAAGAAAGGTTGGGCTCTTCAGAGACAGGATATTTTGGTCTTAAAAATGATTCCCAGGAAAGGAAGGTCCTGATATAACAGTTACTGCCCATTAGTGGAGAGAAAATACATGGGTGGGCAAATCATAAGAAAACATATTTTAGAATGGGTAATCAACAATAGAAATTTTAGGAGTGTGTATCTATGGGAAAGAGGTGGAATACCAAGAAGTATTTTAGAAGTAGGACATTATCAGTCTTGTCTCAGTGTAGTATGAGTTTTTCCTTGGTTTTCTGAGCCAATTTTTAAAAACTTGCTGTTTTTCAGTTCTCTGCCTTTTTTATCTGTAAGAGGGCAGTGGTAGTTGTGGGTTGAGGATTTGAGAGATTAATGAAGGATCCACATTGGTAGGAGTGGAACGGGGATCACATGTGGCTGCTGATGCCATGAAATGGTTGGGTGGTATCAAGGTGATGTCACTAAGGATTCTCTGGCTAAGATGGCAAACTGCATTGTAAATCTTACAGGATTGGAAAATGCTCCTCCCCCTTCACTTTCCCTCCTCTCACCTCCTCCCTCCCAATAATATCACCGATGTTGATTTTATGATGTATCCAACTGGTGTTGCTCCCTGAGGCTTACAGCAACAGGTGCCTGTGGATATTTGCTTTTGGCACTAGAAAGACTTTCCAGTAGGAGCCTCTACTTTCCAATAGCGTAGTTCCCTTTCTAGCAAATTTCACAATTTTTTAATTCTGAGCCTTGTTTTAATGAGATAATGTTACAAATTATTGTCTGCAAAAAAAGCAGTGTCTGGCACATAGAAATTAACTTTGTGCCATCTGTGAGTAGATAATGTTTGTAACACTTTCCTCAAACCACAATGGCAGAGCAGGCCCTTACTGCAGGCTCCCATGAGGTCACTTCAAGGGATGGCCAAGTGTGTGCTTGTTTACATTCACACTTTTATGTGACACACATTCTGTTGACATACTTTTCACCTGCTATTCCTCTTGTAAAAGGAAGAGGAGTAGATTCCTACTGGCTTTTATTCAAAGGGAGAATGATGCAATAAAGACCCCTGCCCCCTAAGTTCAAATGGGTACACAGGAGATCTGGGAGACGTGGCCTGATCCTGAGCAACAGTCACACATCGGCATATGTAGCAACAGGAGACCAGCAGAAAGGCTCCTTGGTGGAGAATCAATAATACATTTAAGAAATGTGAAAACACCTGGCAGAGGCAGATTAAAAGATGACCAGACAGCAACAAGGACAAAGCCCCTGGCATCAGACTAGAAGTGTTAAACAAGCACTAAATTTTTTTTCCCCAGGAAAACTTACCAGAAATTATTTTAAGAATTTTTACTATAGGAATGGAAGAATTGGTCTCAACATCATAATCTGAAATTTGCTATTGATAATTGTTGAATTATCAACTGATGCAATTTTGGAATAGGCAAAATCACCACCACTGCTTTCAGACTTGTAATTGTTGTAAATGTTTCACAGGCATTTGAAACCACCACTTAATATTAAAAGTCTTTATGTATGTTACAGGAAACCAGCTAGCATATGTATTAGCACTAGGAGACTTCCTTAGTTGGGTGTCTGGAGATTAAGGATAGCAAAAGAATGAAAAGCAACAGTGCACTTATTAGAAACATTTTTTTAAGGCTTCAATATAGCTTGCAAGCACTTCTGATTAAAAGGTAATTGCCATTCTTGAAAGGGAGACTGGCCCTGGCTGATGTGGCTCAGGTGGATTGACTGTTGGCCTGTGAAACAGTTGCTGGTTGGATTCCAGGTCAGGGCACATGCCTGGGTTGTGACCAGGTCCCCAGTTGGGACTGAGCAATGTTTGTTTCTCCCTTGCTTCCCCTCTCTCTAAAAGAATAAAAAACTTAAAGAAAAAGACTGATATAGTTCCTTCTCATCACATACTTTTTACTAAATGGGTCTAGGTCTTGCCTGAGTTAGGCAATGGGAATGGTCTATGTAAATTCAACAATGACAAAATGGTTGGTGAAAAATGGCTCAGACCACAAGTATAATTCTGACATCTTCTAATTGATGTCCCCTTGATGTCCCCTCAGTGATATCCCCTGAGACAACTTGAATGTCTCAGAAGCTTCAGGCAAATCAAAACTGGTGACTCACCAGGATCCAGACTTGCTCCAGGGAGATAGCAAGATTTCCCTGTGCAGAAAGGGTGGGGAAAGGAAATAGTTTATCTTTGAAATCCAGGGTTATGTTTTAGACACAAAAAGCAACTATTTGCCCCTTCATCCCCACTTCCCCTCAAGGCAGGAAAACATTCTAGACCTTGGGTGTGGTTCCCCACTCCAAAGGTGAAGCTGCCGTTGAGGGATTCACTGTTTTCTTAGGAGGGGTACAGCTTACATCTAGGATTCTTGCCTCGGCCTTGGAATGAGAGGTGCCCGGTGTTCTTTGAGGAGCTCTAGTCTTCGGGATAGTTTCCAGAACCAGATTTCAGTCCCTTACCTTTTTTAGGTTGGGGCAAAGCGACTGAATTTATGGCTGCCACAGCTTAGCTTTCCACAGACTTGTAGGACAGGGAGCCACTTCCCTAGAGCCGTTCACCTGCCCCACCAGACTGGTCCCATCGAGGACATCTCCCAAGCGGGCCCAGAAGGAGTAAGGGCTGACTGGGCGTCGGTGGCCGCATCCTGACAAACCTTTCTTTACCCTCTGCCCTCCAGCCACGGCCCTTCAGGACCGGGGACGAACCAGGGGAATACGAGCACGCGCCAGCACCCATGCCTGGGCGCCCCACGGCTGAGCCGGCTTGCGCTCGCTCCTGCAGCCCTGCGCAACCCCAGTCACTGGCCCCGCAGCAGGCGCTGTATGGTTTCAACAGGTGGCTCCTTTCCTTTGGGCTCTCCAACCCGCCCCCGCCCCACGCCCCAGACGGTCGTTGCCCAGGCCGCTCTGGCCCGCTGGCGGGAGCTCTATGGTCGCGTCAACCACGCTCTCCCGTAGGCCTCGGCTCCTAGGGCTGAGGAGGTCAACCATGCCGTAGAGCTTCCTTCTGCCTACACACAAGAAGATACTGGCCTAAATGTCCCGATGCTCAGATGCCCGTGCGCCAACCCAGGGCCGACAGCAGGGATGTGCCAGCCCTCTCCTTCCCACAGGAGGCCAGCGCAAAACTGGGTGAGGATGGTTACTAGGAAAAGGACCTTTCACAGGCAGGGTGGGGGGAGGGTGGAGTGGGGGATAGAGATGAGGTGGGGCAGTCCTGCAGGCTTGCACTCTAGGGGTTTGAATACAATGGGAGGTCCATAGAGGGTCTTAAGCAGGAGAGGCTCCTCCACATTTTTGTTTTAGTGCGTTCCGTAGCTCTGTAGAGCTAGGGAAAGGATAGGGAGAGGACAAGTAAGGACAGGGAAACTAAAGAGACACTTGCAGTAGCCAAGGCAGGGCGTGATGGCAGCCTGGATTTGGACATGAACGGTGAGGCGGTGGGACAAGTGAAGACCAGAAATGAGACATGAGGAAGTAGATTCGACAGGACTTTACGTGGACCCAGATCAAAGTCTGAATTTTTAGGATGACCCCCAAGGGCATTGAAATTTTGGCCTTGATTTGTCTTTCCTGCCAGCTGCTCCCACAGCAAATATCGAGGGACCGTGCAGCTTCCCAAGGAGATGCACTCTTACACCAAAGATCCTGTGCTCAAGCTCCCTTTTGCCCAGACTGCCCTTCCCCTCCCCTTACTAAACTTTAAAGTCCCACACAAAAGTCACCCTTGATCCTCTCAGAGATTTCCCCTGCGCTTTCAAAGCCCTTTCCACACCCATCTTAGCTCTTACACATCCAACAGTGATTTGTATTAGTTTTCTTTGTAATTTACTTCTAAATGCCCAATGCTGTGTTGGGGGCCTAGCAAGGAAAGGCAATGTGAAGTTTCCAGAATAGATACTTTTGAAAAGGGTGTGTCTGTCTACCATTTATTCTGGGAACTGGGGGAAAAGATAATGATTCAATGACTCAAAAAGAACTAGACAGCTGTCCAGTATGCTCGTCTGACATCCCCTTCAACATCTTCCACAAGCCATTCTACCCCAGGCCTGAAATGTGTTCTTAACAAATGCTAATTTATTAATACCAAAACCTAGAATGTTAAGACAGTAAGATATAAATTTGTATTTGCAATGTAATCTGCCTATTTTAAAAATACATGAAACATACCGAAGTGTTAAGAGTGCTACCTTGTTAATATATCTTCTACCATCATATTACTTCCACAATAAGAGGAAAACAACCACTAAATAGGTGGCAACAGATTTTAAAAAACAAGAACATATTATACCATTAAATTGAAGAACAAATTATCCTTACCTTCTTTTTTAAAGTTACTATTTCTTTTCAGACAGAGGGGAAGGGAGGGAGAGAAACATTGATATGAGAGAAAAACATCAATTGGTTGCCTCTCACATGCCTGCAACAAAGAACCTGACCTGTAACCCAGGCAGGTGTCCTGACTCAGAATCCAACCAGGAACCCTTTGGTCTGTAGACCTGTGTTCATTCCACTGAGCCACACCACCCCGGGCTATCCTTATCTTAAAGGTAACTAGAACTAATTAGGATATAGTTTTGGTGATTACATTTAAAGTATAATTTAATGCTTTCCCCACATCCATTCTATTATAGATAACTTGGGACAATAATTCCTCATA